CGGATAATGACAATCTGTTGCACTTTTTAGATCAGTGTATACGATTTAGTTTTCATGGAAACGCGATTTTTCATCTGTTTGACCACATAAGTCGAAGTGCATTTTCTTCCTCAATATCTCAGAGTATTTATCGACACCAGTCACTCACTTGACCCTGTTCTATCCATTTTTGTTTCCAGCGGACCTCAGTGCAATGTGACACACCTGCTTTAGGTTCTCTTCGTGTACTAGATATCTTTGTCAAATGGATGCCGTGATTTCAGAGCTAAACTGTTCATCATGCTGACTTCTGCTGTTGATATTTATTAAATTCAACATCACTTTTAATTAGTGGTATTTGTAAATTTATGAAGGCATTTCACTCAGGCAAATCTGATGTAATGGACGCAACTTCGAAAATACCACTGCTATGTGAGCAGGATCACCCTAACGTGACTTGATCGAACGGATGCCTTCTGAGCTTACTGTTTAGCTCCGAACGCTTTTTCGATCGAGCTGAGTATTGTCATCAGTGGAATTTTAATTGACGCCTTCTTTTCTGGTATCTTATCGGTCTCCATTGGTGGTCACTTTGCGTGAACATCATCTGATTGGTGCACATCAAGGTCAAATAGGGCTGGAATGAAGGTCATCATCATGGTTGAGTGGTTGTTGAATTTTCAAATCCAATCTTTGTGGGAGCTGAACATTTTGGCCCGCTGTGTAACGGAATCGTGCCTAATTCTGGGGTAAAATATATGTTCAAGTAAACCCGGAACGAACTGGATTTAAAAGTGATTGTTGTGTATATTTTAAGCATTCAAGTCTGGAACATAAAGGCAAAACTGGCGAACTTTCGAGAAATCATACTCATCATGCCATATCAACGGGTCAAACGTACCGCTGAAAAGTTTTGAAAGTCCTTTGCACCCGTTTCACAGCTGATAGGAATCATCAGCACGGGTCTGTGGCCTGCAACAAACTCGCAAAAATGATTTGTGCTATATCGTGTAAATGAAAAATGAAAAATCGTTCTAATCAGCTGTCCGGTGGCGTAGTGGGTAACATGCTTGCGTCCTGCCCATGAAGTCCTGCGTTTGATCCCCAATTGGGCCGATGGATTCGCACTGCTGATGAGACCCAACCAGGTCGAAACAGCTGTCCAGTGCTACCTAGCTTTTCATTTCACGCTTCATATGCCATATACACGACAAATTCCTATTTGAAATTGAATTTGTATTTATATAGTCAATTATGCTTTGGGATACGCAGCTTGGTAAAATCATAAGTTATTTAGCATACAATGTAAGCAATGCAAGGACTCGTCACACGTTTCGTGTACCATACGGGATAAAGATTGAAGTATAAATACGGAATGAGTAATAATGGAGCTTTTATTAGGTACTATATCCAACTCATTCAGTGAGTTGTAAGAAATTCCAGCGGCAGAATCATACTGTTTGATAAAGTTCCCCAAACGAGCAACCTCAGTCAACGTGTAATATGACTGCACGTTATCAGTCCCAATGCCTTTTAATATGTACACCTTTTCCTATCAAGCTTTAAACAAAGCCCGCAATCCTTTAGCCTCAACCCGTCATCCTTTAGCCAAAACCCACAATGCCTTAGCCACGGCCCGTAATCTTTTGGCCTCAACGCACAAAATTTAGTCACTCTGCAGTAGACGAGTCAGATCAAAAAGTATTGGAATATTCTGAAGTCAACGGATGTTGAAAAAAGTTATTTTCTACAAGTGTTAGTGTTACAAAGCTTGGTTAAAACATAATGGATGGCACGCTGCACCATTTGACACATCTCTCCCAGCTTCAGGGGCTTTATTTCGCATGGGATACACCTTTGAGTAAAAATCTGAAGTGTAACTCAAAAGATACATTGTTTTGCATTCACAAGCCCTGAAATAAATCATAAGGTATATGCTTACCGTTTCGTGTATCCACTTCAAGTGAGCTCTGTTCTTGATACATGAAAACATTAATAGGTCGAGGATATTGAACAATATTCAAAAAAGACCCAAGTTACAACACCGTTTCCCAAGAACCTATACACACAACCCGTAATAATTAAGCCTCGACCGTGGCAATTAAGTAATTATAATGATAGTTATGGGAGTGGATTTCGTAATTGGTTTTTATCCTCCTCAGCATGTTTATTTATCCACCTCTCATGAACAGAATTCACTTGTGAATGCAAAACTATGTATCGTTTGAGTTACACTTCAGGTTTTTACTCACAGGAGTATTGCATGTTAAATGGAGCCCCTGAAGCTTGGCCAGATGTGTCAAATGGTGCAGTGGGTCACCCATTATATCCAACCAACCATATTCAAGCACACCTACAAGCAAAAATTCACAGCGCATTCCAAGGAACAGCTCTCACACCCATCAAATACAAATAGCCAATAAGCCAGTAGTAAGTTAAAACAACAATCTCATTGGACTATACCGTCTACCAATCAGAATGCAACAAAAACGTATTTGATAAGCAAGCAGTCAGTCAAAAAAGCGCGATTCAACCACCTACAAACCGCAACAATGGTTTTTCCCCATTTTTTGCTGCTCAAAATTATGGTTCCCGGTCAGATTAAGGATTGTCATCATACGGGCTCGATATCCTGTATCTCAAACTTCGATTCATCGCAGCTTAGTTGAAACAGATTAACTGGATCACTATCTCGTTTTTGAAAAGGAAGTCAAATGATTCAATGAAATAGTTAAAAGGTCCACATTGTGAGGCACACTTCATTTGGTCCTTCCATAAGTGTTATGACTTATTTTCCGTGGAAGCTATTATGTGGTGGCCAGCAAAGAGTATTGCATAGATGTCTCATCACTGTTGGGTTTCGTCAGCTGTACAATGATGTGACTGCTTACGAAAGTCTGTTCCCCTCGAAATAATATATTGTGAGAATGATCCACTGGAAACCCAAACACTATGTTTGGTTTGAACAGAATTTCACTGTTCTTTGAAATATTTTCAGTTGCGATATGGCGGTAATTCAATGGTGCGGCTCATTCATCAGATATATGCTCTCCATCAAGAGTAAACGACAATTATTTTTTGCTTGCGAGTTTCATAATCCGTACGATGTTACTAATAAACTTTCAGTAATCCTCAACGTTTCACGTTTTCCGGTCTCTGGGAGCAATTATTTGAACTAGTTATTTTTCAGGATTGACTGATTTGGCTGGTTTTACGTCAGATTTGCACGCCCGATTCGTCCCAGCTCAAACAACTCGACTGACTGGCTGATTTCTGATGGGTGAAAAATAAACGACAGTTGAGTGACTAATTGAAATACCCATGGAAGCTTATGATCAAATTTACAGTTATCGAGCCATGGAAACAATGAATTTGCTTCACGCTTGCACTCCGCAATAATGAAGTTATTGTTTTCTATTCAATTACACGCTGCGAAAGATGCATTACCAAGACAGCTGTAAAGAAATACACATTTGAATTATTCATTTGTGGAGGACTTGGAGGACGGTCACAGGTGATGCGGGAACAACCGCAAAAATGGTCGTGTTCTTCCACAGCTATTCTGCTCAATCATTTAGATACTCCCTGTTGTATTCAATGAAACTAGTAGTAGGCGCGAAAGTAAATCTTTTAATTAGGCACGTACTGGGAGCATCGTATTTCACGTACAGCAAAAAAAGCATGTCATTAGCCGGAACTGGTTATACAAGTTATCAGCAGGCAGCCAATCAATAACAAGCAGACACCTACTGCAGTCTGATTGGTCAATGTAATCAAGGTCCCGTGTGAGGAACGTCCTTGTCACGTGCATGTATGTCAGTTTGTCTATCTGTGCCCAGGTGCGCGTGAGAGTGTGGGCACATCGTGCATTGATATTGCGTGTGTCATGGGAGCACAATGTGTACAAAATGGTTAACCATTAAAGGCGTGTTAAGTCAGACACCTTATTTTTCAACTCTATTTACCATTGAACCTTGCTACGGAACCTTCAATTCTGCTTCAAGCGCACAAGGGAACACCTAATTCTGGTGACAAATGATATAACAATATTGATGAATTATGTAAATACGCTCGACCCAGAGAACGGCGACCCCGTGTAATCTTTTACAAGAACAAAAGCAGCAATAAGTAATGATGGATATTGTTGAAAATGAGCGTACTAACTGGCACCAGCTGGTAATGTGTTCCTCACTGATTGTGAAATTTTGAGCGCTGACTTCAAATTTCCCCAAGCTGAGATGGAATTCGTTATTTGGAGATATCAGACAAATCAAGACCACACGAACCAGGCTAATATTTTCACCAACGCGGAATTTGTCTGGTAGAAAACGTTCCACCAAACTGTAAAAACCTTGTTGATAAATCTGCCAAAGAAAAATTGGGTGAAATCACGTGATGGTTCCATTCCCAGTATGTGTTACAGACTCGGCGAGGTCGTCTTAGAGCGAAAATAAATCACAANATCATCTGTGGGATAAAGAAGATGCTATTTCTACCGGCTGTTATAAAGCGCAGACCGAATTAAGCGAACCGCCGTCACATGGGTGAAGGACGAGTTCACTGGGAATGAGTAGAAGTGTGAACCAACGAACAGCCATTAGTGGGATATAGTATGACATCGTTCCTGTCACCGACTGTGGGCTCACATCGAAATCGTGTGACAGAGGATAGAGAATGTTTCAAGAGTCTGTCCTTGGGAATGAACAGAGATTGCAAACAACTGACCGAATCTTTATTGAGATAGTTAGTGAAACTGTATCTATAAGTGGTCTTACGTGCAGAAAGAATTTTGAGATTCGACCAAGCGTCAGTACGTCTATGGATCTGATAATTTGGGCTCTAAAAATGACAGAAATTATGACCACATATGGGATGTAAGAAGATACCGCTCAATGTTCGAATATGTGTGAGTGTGTGACTCAGATTTTACGCGGTCATCTCTCGAAATGAATCGCGATTGTACCCCGGTTCAAAAAACTGCTGACAGGTTAGAGTTTGATTGATCGTACGTTCAGACTGAAATGCGAGTTTCAAGCAGGCATGAGCCTGCGGTACTGACTTGACGACTTCACCCCTAGGTTCTAACCAAATACAACAATGTCATTTCTGTCACCGTGTGTGTTTGTGTCTGTGGACGTGCAAAATCGAATTTCTATATGGGTATTCACATGCGTGTACTGCACACCTCCGGCGCTTTTGTTAAATAAACACTATTCAGTTGATAAGAATTTGCCCAGACCGGAAGATGTGGATGAACATTCTAACAAAAATCGAAACAGTTTTTTTTCAACAGTATACTTACAGAAGCATTTTCCTGGACGGAAATCCTGCTTCAAAAGGTGAAGGAATAATTTGACAACACAGTAGAAATAAAGCAAACGAGTGCACGGAGTCACAAATTTACAAATAACCGTTTCTTGATAACAGCACAAGTTTCAAGGTTGATCGGGTAAACGGATGTTATGAAAACCTCGAAATGGCACCGGGGAATCAGGAAGGATTACGCAGCAGAAAGATGGTTCAGAGGAGGAGGAGGAGGACTGTTACTCAAATTAAATATCTGACTGACTGGGATGTCAACCCATTTCGGTATTATGTAGTAGCGAAGCAAAGATCAATTGGGAAAAAATGTGTCATTTCGACTATCTCACAAGTGACAACACCAGTCACATGCGACTGCTAAGACGACTGCGTCAGAGCAGGTGATGAAGTTCCCGGAAACGGAAGGAATTTGAATGTGAAACAGAATGGCGGTAAAACGGTATCATAAAAACATTAAATTATTTCATCGTTACAAAATCCTGAAGCAAATTGGGTTCTAAAATTGCCCTTTTCAAGTCTATGGGTGTGAAATACAGGGTCTGCAAGCAAGCAGTCGAGAAACGGTCAGACGAATGATATGCGCCTCATTATTTGCTGCGGATAACGCAGTAATGGAGCGATGAAATCAGAAGTAGACACGGGAGGTTTCTGATCATCGGGATTGAGGTTCAGAAAACAATGGAAAGTAGTAGTAGTAGTATGGAGCAATTCAGATCAGGCAGTTTTCGCATTCCACATGGCGCCAAAAAACGGTTGAAATGCTCCTGATCACATGTGGCTAGTACAGCAATTCAAACTCAAACAGTCTGGATAAGAAACGCTTCGATTGTATCATGACATACGCAACCCTCACCTCATCCCCAAAACTGAACAATCTCGTGCCTACCTGTTTTTGCTGAAAGCATAACGGAAATGATACACATTTCATCGCAAGATCCAAGAGATCAGATATTTTCTAGCTCTCATTCTCTTTGATCTCGGTTATTTTAATTCATAGGTGTCAGTCTTGTGGAAATCACTCACTCACTATTGTTCTTCTGAAGAGTAACACATCGTGTAACATGTCCAACCACTCTTGATTCTTCGTATCAAGACCAAAATAAGACCTATGTCACGAGACGCTAACATTTCGTTTAATCTTCTCAATCGCTGACGTAAAACAAAGAAGCACATTTATGGTACATTGGATTTGTAAATCCTAGTGAACGGACATGTACAAGTAGACAGGGGCTATTAGAATTAAACATAGGTCAACTCCGTGGCAAGTGAACTGATTGGATAAATAACTTTGGGGCGCACAGAACGGGATTATGTAATCGGATTAGCAACGCCTCGCTTATCGCCAACAGTTATGCATTGCAGTTACGTAACAACAGTTTGGAAAAGGAAGCGGGATCAACTGTGTTTGGTGTGTTGTAATTGATGACCCCGGTTTAAGTGTGACCGCCTGAGTACTCGGTGTGGGTTGAGTCATCGACTTCACCAACCACTTTGGATGTGTTCGGCCATCCGCTGTGATAATTGACGGTTGGTTCTGCCTATGTATGCGTCACCGCAATTGCAGGTGAATTGGCATACAGTGTGCGAGACAGAACTGGATTGCCAACCATGTACACGTTTGTCCACGTCGATTCAGCGAGTCGAAGTTGAGCAGCTGGGAATGTACGATTGAGAGCTGACTTTAATTGTACATGTTCGTTCACTAGGGTTTACAACTCCAATGTGCTAAAAATGTGGTTGTTTGTTTTAAATCAGCGATTGAGAAGATTAAACGAAATGTTAGCGACATATGTCTTCTTTCGGTCTTGATGCGATGGATAAAGGAAACCCAGTGTTTCAAATTTCTAAAGCAAAGAGTTTTGATTCTAAGATTTGTATACTGAAAGTGCGATAAAGTGAACTCGAAATGCAAATATATCACAAACACACTTTGGTTTCTATTTAATCGACAGGTCTAAGTCAGACTGAATCCAAAGTGCATTAAAATCACGAATCACTTAGGTCCTCATAATTTCGTGGGGTATTACCAAGTTGACAATTTTTTTCGTTGTCACTTCTCATATGTTATTGTTGAAAAATTTTATGTGCTATTCGGTAAAGTGAGTTGGGTCAACTGATTACATCTGTGTGTGTGCGTGTGTGTGAATGCAAACAATAATTCACTCGGAGTGGCGAAAAATGTAACCGTCAGGCTAAGACGTAACGAGCATCCATCGATCGTTCTTCTCACAGTACAACACTATAAAGATAACACTATAGAACGGTTACCTGAAAGCATGTTATTTTCATTTTAGTTCAAATTTAGTGTAATTCGGATGATGATGATGATGTTGATGATGATGATGATGATGATGATGTTGATGATGATGCTGATGTTGATGATGATGATGATGATGGTGGTGATGATGATGATGGTGATGATGATGATGATGATGATGATGATGATGATGATGGTGGTGATGATGATGATGGTGATGATGATGATTTGGATGATGATGATGATATTGATGATGATGATTTGGATGATGATGATGATGATGGTGATGATGATGATGATGATGGTGATGATGATGATGATTTGGATGATGATGATAATGTTGATGATGATGGTGATGATGGTGATGATGATGATTTGGGTGATGATGATGATGATTTGGATGTTGATGATGATGATGATTGGCTTGATCGAGTGTTTGATCGAGTAAACCACCAAATTCTACTGCGAAAACTTTACAATTACTGAGTAAGGGGTTTAATTCTCCACTGGATTGAGGAGATTCTGTCACAAAGAACCATGGCATTTCGAAATTGCGTTTCATTATGTAGACCTATCCCAACTATTCAAGGGGTTCGCAAGATTCTGTGCCGAGTCCTGGTTTGTTCTTGCATTTCAAAATGCAAACTTATTTCTAGGTGAATGAGGTTTGTTTTTCTTTTGTTCTGGGGAACCAAATACCATCACACTCCACTGATGAAAGGGGGGAGAGTGTAGGATGTTCCACACCCTGCGCCAGGGCATCATCCATGGTTCTAAAGCACGCTTGCTATCGGCGTTCATTTGACCACACACGGAATGCTCCGTTCACGTATGAAATCTATAGTTAAACTGCGACAAGAAGGCTCTAGAACATCCTTAAAGATTGGCAACAAAAATGGCAAAAGAGCTGTAGAGCACGACCTACTCCGAAGGGCTACAACCATTGGGTCTTCAATCGTCTTAGTACCGTCGACTTTGAGGGGATATAATCTTGAGAGAAACACCCTTGCCGTTCCGTGTTGCGTTTATCTCAAAATAATCATCTCCATGAACATTCACTGAGTTTGAAGACCCAGAACAGTCACTAAAATGGCCGGCATCACTCGCCTGTAGTCAGGGTGTGCGGTGTATGAAATTCCCTTCCATCCCATGTTGTGTGTGCTCCTAAGGTAGACTTATTAATATTGTAGCTCGATAAAACATGAGAACATTTAAAACTTCAACATCTGAGAGTGATCATGTATATCATTATTATTAATATTTTCTATTGGTAAAACTGCCCGGAACAGTCTGTAAGAATCATATGGGACGTGATCGGTATGACCTATGATAAATCACCCATCATAAAACATTGAACTTTGGACAATGAGCACCTTTCATGAATACCTTGGAAAAATTTTATCTGCTGTACAAGAAAAAAATGAAGCCATTCTTAAATTCGTTTCACTTATCCACTTGTCTGATGGGATATATACTTACTGCCATATGACGAAATACCATCATTTTCGCGAAAGCATTCTACTTTCTTCTCTATCAATTTTTCGTCTCTTATTCTTTCGGGATGTTTTGAAACAAAGCAAGCTTTCCGATCACTGATATCAAGAAAAACACCATGAACGTTTTATAGCCCAAACATTGGATTCACAAAGACATCGTGTTGGATGACAGTTCAAGTTGTAACTTTCAAACACACCGAAGACCACTTCCAGTCGTTGGTCTTCTCGACGGTGATCTATCTCCGGAGATCCGGCGAACTATGGGCAGCAAAAATCAATGACCTTGTATTTGTTTTCGCATAGAATGAGATCATTTTATGATCATCCACTTCTTTCATTCTTTCCACAATAATTCTGCTCTTTCTAGATCTCAATAGAGGTCGGGTGTGTTTACATGTGTTTGTGTTTGTGTGTGTGTATGTGTGTGTGTGGGTTGGTGGGTGGGTGTAGGCCCGTGTGGGTGGGAGCCATAAAAGTACAGCACGGTTGGCTTGGTGCATCCTTGTGTGCGCCCTATCGCTAAAACATGCTAAATCACAATATTGATCTACCGGGCCCGGATGCCTCCGCTACTGGTTTCATGCCGCTTCTTTCCATTTGCCTTGTCATCGTGATTGTGCGGTGTGGGCCCGCGCGCGTGCGTGCATGTGCACCTTCAGTGTGCACTCATTGACCGCGTGGTTTCCAAACCGGCGTGCAATGTGCTTTTTTGTCCCGGTAACTTTGTCCCAAAGGGAGGGGGCAATGACGTTTTCGTGTGCCGAATTCGAGGCAGAGTAACCATGCTACAAAGCGTGATGCGCGTCCGGTATCCTGTTTTTTCAGGAAACTGGGTCTACCGGTAGGAGTGTCATATTGCTACAGCACGCAATTGTCCGAGGCAACCATAGAAATGAGACGGCTTTCGAGGCGTTAAGGGACTAATAACTGGTGCATACAGCTAAAATAGAGAATCTATTGACTGATTTAGAGAGTGTAAAAGTGACAATTGTCAAATGAATCGTAGTTCATGACATTCCCCCTCCCCAAACACAAACGTTGGGCAGAAAGGTTTCCGTGTTTGTAAGTAATATGATAAACAACAACAAATTTGCAATCAGGATGAATGAGTGAAGATCACTGTCGGATGTGTGTATGCGCGTTGTGTGTGTGTGTGTGTGTGTGCGCAATTTGTGACGTCATGAGTAGTGATTTCTTATGGTGATATGGTTTCGGTCAATCATCAACGACAGATAGAGTTCGAAGTGATGTGAGGTACTTTTAAAGGTAGAGCATGATCAGTGAATGTTGAGAGAAGCAGTGATTATTTAAAAAAATCCCTCTCAGGTTAATGAAATTTGTTAATATATGGCATAATGGAAGCACAAATTGAAACAGTTTCACACATATAGATAAGATTTATAAGCTCGAGGTTTCACCGAGGACGCGTCTTTCGACAGATTTTTCTTTATCGAGGACAGGGTGATTGGAGATATCGTTCACCCCATCAGTTTTCAAGTCCTCTGACTGGAATCTGTGGGCATCTGTTGTTATTCTGATGCAGTATCTGGTTCGAAGACAACTAAATCATCAAGTTTCGTGGAAAAACAGAATCTTCAGGACCAAATGAAAGTTATTCTTGAGCGTAAGTCGGTTTGTAATCGGATATTTCCACGTTCTTTGCCAAAAGGTCGCACTTAGAGCTTATTCGGTAATACTAGAAGCCAACTATGAAGGGAAACTGATGTTAGAGGCGTGAAACCAGCTTACTCCGGGCGCTACTAGCACAACAGCGTAGACAGAGTTGCGTGACAGGAAGTCCATCGGTTCGTATTCTCGCTGATGGAGACGATACGAGGCTTATCGGGAGACGACAGGGAAACGGCCATATGTGTTTCGAGGCAATCGGGGTATGTGGGCTGCGAGGAAGCAACGGTAGACGGTTCCCCAGTGGATAGGGGTTAAAAATAAACCTGGCGGTAGGCAGCCTTGATGTCTGACCCAGCAGGGCCTAATGAGGTATGAAACCTCGAATCTCAGGACTTAGGTTACCGGTTTCCATCACTGAGCAGCAGATCATCGTGACTACGAGGTCCACCCCATCTACTGTTCACACACAGAATGTGTAATAACCTGCAAGGCAAAGCAAACAGAGAAATACGAACCCGGTGAGATACATGCACTCAAGATAAAGCATTGCTGACGCGGTTGCCAAGCCTTATCTTGACACAACAATCGTGAAGAAATAAGTGTTCTTGAGGTGGGAACTAGTTGCAGTATCGAAGAGAGAACGTAGAGCACCTAGAAGGAATACGTTCCATTGTCGAATTTCTAAACATTAACATTTTTGAGCCAAATTGAGGGCTCTCCAAATCGTATCCGTTCGACGGAGGACCGTAAGCAGCGGAATGACTGGCAAGTATGCACACATTGCTCATGGACAAACGTGTGTAGTTCATTAGATGCGAATGATTTGACTTGAGTCCGAGTGGACAAAAGCGGGCATGCTAAGAATAGCATGAACGAGTGAAATAATAACAGGAAACTTTGTCAACCATTGTAGAGCACAACTTGTTGAATGTATTTGTTGAAAGATAACTAATGAAGTGAATGCTAAGTCTCTCAGGAGTGAGCGGCTTTAATGTGTGGTATACAAGGTGGCTTCCAAAATCCTGGGCGTGGTCGGGAGTGGGTGTCTAGATTTGCGGTTCGTCACCCTTCCCTTGCACCTCGCGAAATGCTCCCATACTACCAACCGTCTCTAATAACCTCTTGTGAAGAAATCCTACTCACTGCCTTCTCGTGGAGGAGGTTTTTTCCTACCAAAGTGAGAGGACGAAAAGCCGACATGCGGGAATATAACCGAGTTGGTGGACCACTGGCAGTCCACCTAGGGGTGTAGGCCAAAAGCCCTGATTCCAAACCAAACAAAAGAAGGCTTACGAACCACACCCACACCTTCCCGGTTATGGCGGCTGTGGCCACCGGCTCATTTGGGCACCGAGGTATAACGGGCACCTTAGACGTTAGACCCCGTACAAAGGGCGTATGATCCGATGTACTGAACATCAACCCCCGACGGAGTGCCGTTTTCACACACCGCCCAGCTGCCTTACGGGTCAGGCGTTGGCTGGCTGAAGGCTCTGGTTGTGAATTCCTCAAGAAAATTCAGCTGCCTTGGCATGGGCAACCTGTCAGTTTTCCGCCCACATGCAGTTCATGGAACGTTTTTTTAATAAAGATTATTGCACCACGATTTGCTTGGCACACAGTCTGGCCTCAGACGGCTGATATATATATATATGGTTGATAAATTGTGCCTTCCCCTCCACATTCGCAGGTTCGACAACGAGATATCACTGCCTTTCACCTCTTAGACAGAGATTTCAAAGGCGAACAAAAGGAGTCGTGCCAAGAACTGCCGGGATAGCATAGGGACACATCAAATTTGTAATATTCATGGAGGTCGAAACATGAGGTGGTGTTTTCTTGCCCTGGTGGGTAGGGTATTAGAATACATTGTTTTTTCAAGCAATGAGTTTCAGAAGCCATTATTGGATCTTCTCATTTGTATTCATGCTTCCCAGTAGACTGTCAGACATGAATGCTATCAAACGTTGGTCCGTCACTCACCAAAATAGATGACTGATCAGCAAGTGGCACCATTTTTCAATGTCTGTAGTGTGGGCCTCCGATTATATTGTGGAATACCGATTCTCTATTGGAATCAGGGATCGAGAGAAGCTTACTGGCCCATTCGAATTAGGGGATCCGAAATTGCAAGTTTCAGAGCATTAGCTTCGATACCTAGAAATATACCGGGTGCGTCGGTTACCAAAACTACACCTAGTTCTATTTTCTTGTTTGTTCCCAAATAGTGCTGGCAGATAGGGGAATGTTCGGTTCTACAGAATTTATAATTACCATTACAATTACAATCGTGATAGGTATCTGAAAAGTGGAAGATTCATTGGGAATAGCAGGCACACATTTCGACTTCTCGCTTTTGTG